CCTTTACAGTCAAAGCCTCTTTGGGATGGAGGGAATAGAGTGCTTCTGTCAACAGTGGCTCATTGCCATTTCTTCCTTCCTCTCAGGAAGAGAGAAAACTAGCAATTCTGGCTTCCATTTCCCTGGATACATAATAAACATGTCATGGCTCTCTCCTACCCTTTGGTGCCTGTGTTGAGTTGTCTGAGTAGAATTGCTTAAAATCATTCCTGCCTACTTTTCTTCCTCACCTTACTGAATTCTGTGAGCTTATTCTAACTGAGTTGCACAGGAGGAAAACAGTCCCAGAGAGAACCCTTTTCACTAAGCAGTGGGTCATACTTAGCAAAAAAGAGAAACATTACCAAAGTATATCTTTTTTTTATATATATATATATATATATAAAGTAATATTCATAATCCAGATTGCTTTTACAGAGGCAAGAGAAACTTCATGGTATACTCTCTAGACTCATTTAAGCAGCGAACCTTTGAATGTGTTATATGTTCATTTGCTCTATGTATAGGCATAATTTTATGTTTTATCATCAAATTTGCTCATAAAGTTACAGTGAAATCAAACTGTATTGACACCAAATACTGTAATATATTTATAAGATGCATTCTGCAGTCATGCATTATATGATGCATATTATATGATGCATTATATGATGCATATTATATGAAGCATTATGTTGAAATAATGGAAATCAAACCAATAGGACAAGGTATTTCAAGGTATTAAATGCCACATATATTCAATGAGTGTGTAAACATTGATAAAAGGATGTTTGAGCTTTTGCGAGTTCTTTTCTCAAGTGGTTACTTGTAGAAAAGCCTGCAAAGGAATGGGCATTTTTGTAGGTGTTTTGTTTGTCAACTGTTGTAATTTAGTACTGATGTCAGAAAATCTTCATCTCTGACATGATCACTAACAGGAACTCTTCTCATGTAAGTGATTCCATTGATTTCCAGTAGCCAAAGTTGTTAATGAATTTCATGATGAAGTTATTCATCAACTTTTTCATATATTCAGATAAACAATCCTTTCACATTTCACAAAGAACATGAAGGCATGCTCCTCCACAAAGGCAGGGAGAAGATAGGCCCTAATTCTCTTCGGAAAATGCAGATGCTTTGGATCTGGCTCTGTAGTTCTACAGCTTCTGTGAAGGAGAACAAAATGTTTAATGAGGCTGAGAGTCGGCTGAGATGATGCCTAAAACTGGGAAGTGAGGTGTAGCATTGATGGGGTGGGGAGGAGATATGTTGTTGATTTTGTCTTGGGAAAGGGTGCTGACTGGGTGGTTGGTTGTATCTTTCTGTGTAGTAACTGCGTTATGAACAGATTCTGCCTTCCTAATAATATTTGGAGGTTTGTAAGGGTTGCCAGAGCACGTTTCTCATCCCAGTTCTGGTGGCAGTCTTTTTCAGGGTGTATGAGTAATCATGACAAAATAACCATGTAAGTAACTAAGCCTAGTTTTAAGTGGATTTGTGTCCCTTTGACCTACCACTGAAAATCCACTTGCTTGAGCATGTTTCTGAATAATGTTTCCTAGTTCTCTGTACCAAACACCAGGTTTTACTGCAAAATTAAACAGAAATGGAAATTTATAGAGCTTTCTTTCAACATAACTAACTGTCAAACACCATTCAGGCTAATATCTCTGTAGCAGTCACGGCTCGTGTGGCCATCTGTCCTAGTATGTAACTTCCTATTGTCACTTAATCCACCAAGTATATAAGTGAGTGCAGTAACATGGGAGGGAGGAAGGTGTCTCATGTAATAGAGAAAATGAGAAAATAAGAAAACTTCTTCTTCACAAGAACATTACTTTCTTCTTTGTGTGGGTGTAAGTGCTCATATATTAAAAGGACATTGAAGTTTGAAATTAAAGACAACAAAAGGCTTTCGAAGTCCCTGCGCATTGCAGGGTGTTGGTCTAGATGACCTTTGAAGGTCCTTTCTGACCCAAACTGTGCTATGATTCTATGATCTATCTTTCCATTGCAGTTTCCTTGTATCTCCCAGCCACCAATTTTCACAAAGTCCAGAGGATTTTAATCATCTCAGAAATGTTCAGATCGAGATAGTTCAGTCATTGAGAGACTAGTGCTGTTCCCCTAGGAAAACAAGTTAAATGCTAGCTAGAAAATAGGCAACTTTTGCAGACTTACTTGTATTTGACTTCGTTTATTAAAAGCTGCTGCTATTTTTATTTAGAAACAGTAATGGGATACAATGGTTGCTAGTTCATTAATTTCAAATAAAAGATTGGATTTTGTCTTTAAATATCCGTGTACAGTGTGAATGACATCTCTGAAAAAAGGGGAGTCCCAAACATGTAAGAATGTTAACGTATTCACACAGTGCATTTAAGATATAAAAAAAATACCAATTTAAGTCACTCCACTTTCTTTTGTCACCCTTCTGCAGCTGTGAATTGTAGCATATTTAATCACATGAGTAAACCCAAGAAAACTCTCATTTCTAAAGTGCAGAAGCTGTTATGTCAGTCGCATAATTAACTTAGAAACCTGTTGATCATGAGTAATTTAAGGCTTGCAAAGTGGTAATATTAAATAAGTGTTAAGCTCTCTTTTTAATTACTATGTAGTGCATCAGGACTGTTGTGGTTCATTTTTAGGCATAGAAACTGAGATAATTCCCTCCAGGCTGATCTTGGTTTCTTTATTTCCTTGTGAAACAAGTGTGCATGCCATCGCGGAAGGGAGAGCAGGAAGAAAATGGTTCTGAATTTTCCTTCTTTCTCACTCTCTCCCTTGAACTCAAAGGGTTAAATTTAAAAGGAAAAGGAAAAAAAAAAGTTGTTTGTCCTAAATGTTCTTGCTGAAATCCATTATGCATGAAAAGAGTCTGAGTCCATTTGCGAGACCTCTAAATGAACTCCATTCATTCTGTGCCTAGAAATGTCCATTCAGCCAGAAACAGACACAATAGTTACAACCTTATTTCTTTGGCACCAGTACCAGCTTATGAAAAGTGAAGGGCCTGTTATGAAAAAGTATAGTAATTTTTCTATGCTAGTTACATAATGCTTAAATAAAATCTCTTTAGAATCTGAATAATGTAATACTTGCATATATATTCTTTGCCCAGAGTTGCAATGTAGTAGCATTGCTTTCATCTAAAATTTGTCAACATTGATACTGTGAGAATGTAAGTTAACCCAGCTTGACTTATCTTGATGTAAAACAAGGTTACAGGGACATCTGTTTCTAGATGAATCCTAAATTAAGCCAGTTATTAATTATAAATAGTGGCTATAAAGAAAAGTAGAATTTTGAATTTTTGACTTTTAAAACATTAAAACTTTGTTTACATGTGGAAGGTAAAATACATCGGATACACATGTCAACATTGTAGGAATATAGTAGTATAATTTCATCACTTTCAAATCCATGAAGATAAATGAAGAATTCCATACTCCACATTTTGTAGGACATAAACACAAAGTGGGGATTGACCCATTGTGATCAGAGCAGAGTGTCATGATCTTTGGGTCATGATCTTTATGTCGGACCTATTACATCTTATTTTAAATGACTTGGAGTTTTGAGCAAGGTTACAGAGGTATCATTTGCTTTCCTTCTAAGCTTAGGAATGAACAAAAATCGTGAGCATGTAGGAGAACCTGGCTTGCCTTCGTGCAAGTAGGGCTTTTGGAAGTCCTTCTCATTCTTGCTGGCATTGTTAAAATGTGTATGAGAAAGTGCTGCAGATTCCCATGGGCGTTCCCTCTCCAGTTCAGGTGTGGGAGTTTTAAGGATGAGTCATAAGTAACTGTGTATGTGTTTTCATTTGTTCCCGTTTGCTGACAGTCTGTGGGGGGCATATACATTTGTTAATGTATAACATGCAGATAGTGTTTGATGTAGGCATAAACATTCTTTCTGGAGGGAAAGTTGACAGCAGATAGAAAATTCAGTTCTTCTTCTTTGACCTAGAGTCCTTAATTTAGATTCATCAGAGGCTGAACACCCTGTTGCTGTTGACTGTCATGACTGCTCTGGGCCTTTAACTGGGAAGTTAGTGACGTGGCTGTTTTCATGCCAACTCTTGCTGGTAGCACCAGGGCCTTTAAGTACTAATCATCATCTCAGAAAGTGGCTTTGGTAGCTGACTGGAGCTGACTGAGCATTTCCTCCAACAAACTGTAGAAAATACTGTTTATGGGAAGTGTGTGAGTGATGAGGAATGGGTGAGGGGCTCATTGCAGGAAAAACAACTAACAGGAAAGGGTAAGTAGAAACATCATCCTTGCTCTCAACCAGTTCTTTATCTGACAGTCCTCCTGCTGGTTGCTTTTCCTGCTGAGTCCCCTCCTCCTTCCGTCCCCTTGACATGCAAAATACACATCCAGTGAATACCTACACAATGAGAGTTACAGTACTTTGTTACTGAAATCCCCTGTATGCCCATTCTGGAATTCTTGGGTAGGATTCCATTGTTTTGGTTGCTGCTGAACTTGATGTGATGTGAATTGCACCTGTGATATGGCCTGGTCTAGGGTTGTACAATGCAATAATAACTTGAAGCTAACAGGAGTTCAACAGAGTAAAGGTTTCAGGATATGCTTTCTGCAAAGTAAATTGCTTTTCAGGTTACATTTTATTTCTTATTGTTAATATTTTCATCTGTAAATGTTGTGCTTCTATATGAAAATTAAGGGCCATATACTTATTTTCCATAAAGTATGTGTTTTCTCTTCTGTGATCTTCAGCCTGACTTCTGAAATCAGTTCTTTACACTTAAATGTTGTTGCTATTTGATTTTGGTGGAGTTATTTCTGATCAGCATCAGCATTCCAGCGCTTGAAGTATTTTCCCAGCCTAGAGATCTGTCAGTCCCCATTTCCTTATTATTAGGAAATGAAAATTGAATAAGGTGATTCTGTGACGATAGACAAAAAAGGAAAACAAGAATTAAAAAGAATGATAAAATATGTCCCTCATAACTTATTGCTGACAATTCTCTTCTGCTTTTGTTTGTTTAGGTACTTCCCATCAAGGTGGCTATTCCCATGATGCTGTGGTCCATGCAATACAAAGCTGTGGCATTCGTCATATTGACACAGCAAGACGATACGGCTGTGAATCTCTGCTCCAAAAGGCCATCAAAGAGAGTGGTGTGAAACGAGAGGACATCTGGCTAACTACCAAACTGTGGCCTAGTGATTATGGCTATGAAAACACAAAAAAAGCATGCTTGGAGTCATGTGAAAGGCTTGGTGTCGAATACCTGGGTATGAATCTTTGCATATGCTCATTTATTGCACCTTCTATGTGAATATTTGCAAAGATGAATGAATTCCTGAAAAACAGTGTAGAACAGATAGATCACAAAAACCAAACCCTGCCTTTATTTACCCATTCGCAGATACCTTGTTCTGTTTGTTCTCTAGGAAGTTCACATGCGTACAGTAGAAAGCACGGAATTTTTCCTTACTGCAAATATTTTACAACAGATCAAGGTATTTTTGTAAAGCCAGGTTGAACAGGGCTTGGAGCAAGCTGCTCTAGTGGAAGGCGTCCCTGCCTGTGGCAGGGGTTGGAGCTGGATAAGCTTTAAGGTCCCTTCTAACACAAACCACTCTGGGATTGTGTGAGGAACCACTACATGACTTTCATCTATTTTGCTAAAAACACCTGAAAGGATTCATAAACTTTCTGATAATTTATTAGTAACAGAGAGACAAAAATACCTAAATTCTTCTGTGGTCTGTTAGATCTCAAGGAATGGGATTCCTTTCTAAAACTTGTTTTGTAGGTTTCTTAACTTTTAAAAAGTCTCAGTAACTGCCTTTGTCTTGGTTTGCTGCAATATACTGCAGGGAAAATGTTAGCAGTATCTACAAGCCTTTAGAAGACTAAATCTAAGTAGCACTGGATTAGACTTACACACTTTGAAACTTACCCTGATTATAAACTTCTCATAGTCCAAGATGTGATGTTGGAACTCCCTTATTAGACAGGCAAAGAGTTGCGATAATGACACTGATTAATTCTTTGCAATAGCTCATGGGAGAGGAGGTACCTGATCAAAATAAACATGGTGTTTCTTAAAAGCTTTTGCTGCTTCTTCCCCAGCTGGAGCAATAAAAAGAAAGTTGAGGGAGAGGAATATAAACTTAAAGTAATAATCTAAAACAGTGATGTTGGTGAAGATAGTGTTTATGCTGATAATTCAGAAATAATTGACCTAACAGCCAGACATTATCTGTCAGTGTCCTGAAAACCCTCATTTTGCTTCTTTCTTCACCCTGTCCCCCTGTTACCATACACAAATACACTTTAAAGAAGAAGTGAACAGCTTTTGTGACGTACGTATCTTGCAGGATTAATGGCATGTAATATTAATGGCAGTCATGTGCTGTATTCACTGGCTTTTTTGCTTGGGTGCTTTGTAAGATGAAGGGGAAAACAACCCTGTATCTGTTAGACTGAGATATTTATATGCACATTTTTGGTTTAATTCTTTCTGGTATTGTATCCTTTAACTTCCTGCCCAGGTACAGAATAATGCAAAATGAAATGAAATCTCTTTTTGTCTGTCTTGTGCAAATACAGGTCACTACAAGGAGAAGTTCATAGGCAAAGTTTCAAGTGCTGACTTTCTCTTCTAAATTAAGAAATAACATGTTTCCTCCTCCCTGCTTTCTGCTGCTTATGTTTTGTGTTTGCTTGCTTTTTTCTGCTTGCTATGGCACTGGTGCTGAATGTTGATGAGATGAAAGCTTGACTCCCTTCCAGGAATTAATTTTCAGTGATTTCCTTTTATTTTCTCAGGTAGTAGGCTGATTAAAGTAGGTGCTCACACAAATACTCAGTTTACATATTGCTGCTCAGCAGAAATATGTGAAACACAGAAAAAATACCTGAGAGCAAGAAATGTGGAAATACTGTCACCATTTGAATGGATCCTGGGACTGACATAAACAGAACTTCAGTTTGTCATGTATGTTCAGCTATGAGACTTTTTTTCCTCACACTACCAAGACAAATTAAGTATTACAACTGCCCATGCAATTTGCAACATACATAGTTTTTTTTCCTTCTTTATAGCCTCATCTGTCTTCCCTTCTTCCTTACCTTCCTCCCACTGATGTGGAGATGAAAAATTTATAAAGCTTTTCCTGAGCCACCACCTAGTCTGACATGGAGACCTAAATCAATGGTGGCTTCAGCTTTAACTTGTCAAGTCCTTTAACTTGACGATTTGTGATCTGTGATGGCTTAGGAAGTACTTCATGTGCATTTCATTGCTCTGTCAATGAGGATGGTGACCTCCACAAGAAGGATGAGATGGCAAGTGGAGTAACGGTTTTGTCTGCTTGAGTTTAATCTCCGTTGGATCAATTCCACAGACTATTTTTGTTAAACATAGTATGATAGCACTTGTGTGAAAGAGTTCTCTGTTTATATATGCTGGTGAAAAAGACCTTCACAGGAGGTGCAATACATGGTGTGTTTCATGGGGTTCACAGAAACCCCAGAGTCACAGAATCAAAGGATCCACTAAGTTGGAAAAGACCTTTAAGCTCACCCAGTCCAACTGCTCCCCAGCACTGCCAAGGCCACCACTAACCCATGGCACTGAGGCCTCGTCTCCAGGGTGTGTGAACACTTGCAGGGACGGTGACTCCAGCACTGCCCTGGGCAGCCTGTTCCAATGCCTGAGCACCCTGTGGGGAAGGAATTGTTCCTCAGCTCCATCTAAACCTCCCCTGGTGCAGCTTGAGGCCGTTTCCTCTTGTCCCATCCCTTGTTCCTTGGCAGCAGAGTCCAGCCCCTCCTGGCTCCATCCTCCTGTCAGGCAGTTGTAGGAAGCGATAAGGTCCCCCCTGAGCCTTCTCTTCTCCAGACTGAACCCCCCAGGTCCCTCAGCCATTCCCCATCACACTTGTGCTCCAGGCCCTGCACCAGCTCCGTTGCCCTTCTCTGGCCTGGCTCCACCACCTCAATGTCTCTCTTGTAGTGAGGGACCAGAGCTGAACACAGGATTTGAGGTGCAGCCTCACCAGTGCCCAGTGCAGGGGCACAGTCCCTGCCCTGGCCCTGTTGCCACACTGGTGCTGATACAGGCCAGGATGCTGGTGGCTTCCTGGCTGCCTGGGCACAAGCTGCTCATGTTCAGCTCTGTCAGTCAGCACCCCCAGCTCCTTTTCCATGAGCCCCACTCTTCCCATCATGCTATAGGGAGTCCTGAACTTCTGTCTGAAAGTACTCAGCTGGAAGCTGCTGTTTGAAGGATTTTCAAGCAAAAAGTGGCAGTATCTTGAAATATAAACTTCTGAAGTGTTTAAAGAATGCTTAGCATAAGAGCTTTTTGTGGGAAATTGAGCCTTATCACAGGTATAATAAAAGTTAACAGTAATGCAGAAGATTGGTTTGAAGATGTTACAAGGTTGTAAAATTAAGCTTAGATATCCTAGCTCTGTTCTAATTTGCTCCTGCACTTTGTGTCCCTCTTCTGCTGTGTAGTCTATACCATAGAGTGGACATGAAATCCATGATAAGAAAAGATCTGGTAATAGCAGGGCAATTTGTGCCCAAGCTCATTTAGGAAAGTGAATTCCTTAGTTATAAGTATGTGTTAAAGGTGGCAGTTTTTCTGTGAAATAGGAATGTGAAATAGGTAGGTGAAATGTACCTAAATCAGAATTTCTTGATTTCATTCTATGGTATTAACCAAATATGTGCAAGTTTACAGCATTTCCCTAAAGAGACATGGTTCATATAGAAAATGGAAAGATCCTAAATAATAGATGTAGGATGCTGGACCTTTATGTTGGAGGGAAAGTTTGTCATTCAGAAGACTGCAAAAAGAAAAAGCTGTAGGAGGCCTGGCAGCTAAATGCGCAGCTAAGCAATTTGTTCCAGGAAAGGTCCTGTTAATTTTCTTGAGGAGTGTTATGGGCTACCCAGTCCATCCATGCAAACTGAGTTAAGAGACTTAGGAAATAATCATAGGAATTGATAAATCTGAGCATTAGCAGTATATGGAATGACACTTGTTGAGACAGATGAACTGTTGGAAGCAGCCACAGCCTTTTAAGAGAAGTGTTCCATGTAAAATACTGTTATGAAACCTTTTCATAAACAGTTTTTGAGCAAATGGTATTAGGAGAGCACTGTTCCGGGATTTTTATTGGGAGTCAGTAGATGTTATATCCATGAGGAGCTGGAAATTTATATTAGCTGTGGGCAGTGGTTGTAACAGATATTCTGCTCCTTGCAATTTCTAAATGTGGTCCTCAAGCAGCAGTCACTGTAAACCAATATGAAATGGCAGCAAATCTTCAAGGTTTGGCACTAGTGGAACACATTCCTTGGGGTTTGGATCAATCTTCCAAAGTAATTTCTTCTTGAATGTGATTTGTGGGTTACTGAATTCATAAACAATTTGATTTTCCTTTTGACTCTTCAGAGCCTGTCACATCCAGGCAGATGTGACCTATCACAAATCCTCAACTGGAGTTGGACAAATGCTCTATCAGCATATTCAGTGTACTGGATAAATCACATGAATGATGTTAATACAGCCAGTTCAGATTGCATATAATTCGGAACACACTGGAGGTTGCTTCACATCGATCCTTGTTCCAGTGGAATTTAAAAGAGGTGGGGCAGGTGAGAAAAATCATCATGTACATGCTAAATGCAGTGACAGTTGAGAAAAGCAGGGAAAACACAAGCACCGCATTGAGATAACTCTGCAAAACATTGAAAAATAGACTTTTGCTTGTAGGTTTGATATGAGTCAGGGCTTGCTCTTCAAAACTAGGCTTGTTCTAGCGAATTTTAGCTCTATTTTTAATACTGTATTAGGAATTGTATTAGGAGTAGAATTGCACACTTTTATTTCCGTGACAACATGCTGTTGGCTTTTAAATGTGTAAAATGTCCCTGTCCATTCAAGTTAAGAACTGTATTGATTGTAGGTGCTGCAGCTGAGAAGCAATAAGCCGCACTGTTTTAAATGTGTGTGAGCAGTTCACATGTTAATTTTAGTTTTCCTGCAGCAGTGTTTTGACATTTGAATGAACTTCAGGCCCTCCCTAACCACTGCACCGCTACAGCCTGATGATAAAGAGTGATTTAAAAAGCTGGTAAATATAGAAATTGATTGTGAATATTTGGAGATTTTTTTTCTTCTTTCTCAAGCACATCCTGATACTGTGAGTCACTGCGGGGTTTTGGGTTTGAGATTATTTTACAAAATGGTTGGAAGACGTCTCAAAGTATTGGTTACTCTATCCAACCTACAAGGCACAACCCCATCGTTCCCAACACATAGAAATGTAACCCGTTCTTAAACACCTCCAGTGATCAAGTTCCACATTTCTTGATTACTAGCACCTGAAGCTATTTTGATAAACAGTTTAAAACTAATTTCTTGCCTCCAAAATCCAAATAAGAGTGTTTCTGTTCTTGTCGTCCCTCAGGAGGGGAAATATTTTAAGCAAGAGTGTGGGTGTAGGTGTGAATATGAAAATGAAATTGTAGCCCTGGGTTTATGAGGTGCTCACTGCTGTTCTTGGCCTACAAGTATTATGAAAAGGTTTCTACCAGATTCAATAGAAGTAAGCAAATCCCAGTTTAAAATTAGCACTGCTTAGTTGATTTCCATTGCTTGTTGCAAGGTACATTGTATTCCTTCCACTTGTAGCTGGGCTGGGGTGGTTTGTGTGTGACTGGTGGACTACTACTCATTTATCTCTGAGATAAGGTACCTTTGCCTCACATCTTTCATGAACGTTTCTTGCGGTCAGGAGGATTGGACTTTTAAGATACTATTCTAGCCCTAAATGTGTAGATTTCTAATGGGGAAGTAATTTTTATTTCATAGAATCATAGGATAGTTAGGGTTGGAAAGGACCTTAAGATCATCTAGTTCCAACCCCCCCTGCCGTGGGAAGGGTCACCTCCCACTAAACCATGCCACCCAAGGCTCTGTCCAGCCTGGCCTTGAACACCGCTTCAACAAAAAGCATAAATTAAAATAAACATCATAGTGTGATATGGACATCACAACCTGATAACGTTGCCTTCCTAAAATAAAGGACCAACAACTCATTGTATTCACGCTGAGGAGGTCTCAGGCATTAACACAGGGAAGGCTGATGTACTGCATGTTTTTAAATACCCAAGGCCAGAGATCTTTCCGTTATCAAATCTTTTAAAAGTCATTCTTCTGAGAGTGCTCCTGTTTCTTGGGCTGAGTACAAAGCATCTTTTTAGAAATCCAGGATGTAGCTATTTCTGTGAACATTTGCATGCTGTGATGTCTAACTGAATACTTTTCTTTTGGAAAAGTAGCTTTTGGTGAAATTCCACTGAAGTTAATGATTATTTTTTGTTAGTGTTATACGATGTGTTTTTGCATAGTTAAAGCAGTTGTTATTAGTCTGATTTGGAGAACATAACAAACAGCAATTAAAGATATGTAATTCTCCCATTTTTATGTGAGGCATCATATACTAATAACTTACATATGACATTTGCTTTATCCAAGCAAAAAAGTTTAAATTAAGGCCTGGCACTCTCTGGCAGTAAGTACTGTCAATGGCACATACATAACCGTGGATCAAATTGAACGCTTGGTATTAGCAATTCCTAATGCTAATTCTTGGGGTTGCGCCTAATGTAAGTCAGTGGAAATTTTGGAAGAGACTTTCTTGGCAACAGAATTAGACTGGTCCTGAGATTTTTAACATAACCTTCCCAAGTGCTTCAATCAAGATCCCAGTATTAGGTTTTGCTGAATGCCACAGAACTTGGTATTTATTCCGATGCCATATATTATTTATTCTTAACAAATACAATTTTTTTTTCAGAGCAATTAAAGAAGAAGCAATTATTCACAGCTCAGTGATGAACAAGTCTGCTTGTTTTCTAAATTAGGAGAGGATTTTATGTATATAAGGGCAACCAATGAGCAACTTTCTCTATTAATGGGACATAAATCCAGATGCTGCAGATCATTACAGATCAGTGATATATTCTTGTGTGAGCAGTTGTGTTTAAAAGTTGAATGGGTTATTGATATCAGAAAGTGCAAAGCTCATGATTTTGGTGACCATCCAAAATTATTCTTTTTTATACATCCTATAATGTATGTTACTGTACAAAACTCTGTACTGTTCTAATTAAATTCTTAGTCTGAGCAAAATACTCTCTTTAACCGTATGACAGTGAGGGATCCAAATAGGAGCTGTTGTATTATAGTGAATTTCACGTTCCCTTTTCCTCCTAAACCAGGGGTGAATTTTTATTTAGAGGGGTGGAAAGCTACAATAGCAGCCCAATGGTATTGTTAGCTTTAGTGCAGTCCTTAAATGTGAATAAAAGAAAAATAGGGCAGAGGATCTGTGTTTTCTCAAAGAGGGGCTGTGAATGAATAGTGTGATGCATTTGGAGAACAAAAAACTCTGCGTAGCTTTTAGTTCTTAACTCTGTGTCTGAAATGCCAAAAAAGGAATACTGTAGAGCACAAAGACAGACAACGGTGTACATCTCAGTCATGCGTTTATTTCCTTTTCCTGTTTTCTGTCAGACTAAGCTATGCAGCAAAGAGCAGCACTTTTTGACTGGGATGCCTCCAGTTACCTGTTACATCTGCAGTTACAATTTGGAAAGTAATGTAATTGTGTTCAAAGTAGCTCCAAAGTTTCTCATTAAAGTTGTCTGCAGATTTATAAAGGAGTTACAGATCCTGTCAATTTTGGAACTCTGACTCCAATAGATGTAAATGTCTCTGTTTTAATTTATGTTGAAAATGCTTGGATGATCTTTTCTTGCATGGAGACAGCGAGTTTCTATAGCTGCTTGGATAAGTTCATCAGCAGGAAATATTGCTTCTGTTTGAAACTGTGCTAATATTTCATAAAATGCAGTAAAGCACAAGCTTGTTCCCTTAATATCTGCTGGCAAAAAATTTTAGCAAAAAACCGGTGCATGAACAAATGTGCTGTGATTTCCAACAGAAATTTTGTAACAGAAGTATTCTTTAGAAAGTAAATCCAGAACCCACTGCTGAATTTGTATGAAATACCTACAGAACTGCCAAACAGATTTATCTTCATAGAATCATAGGGTCCCAGACTGGTCTCAGTTATATGACATTAAGATCATTCAGTTCCAACCCCCGCCATGGGCAGGGACACCTCACACTAGACCATGTCGCCCAAGGCTCTGTCTGACCTGGCCTTGAACACTGCCAGGATAGGAGCATTCACAACTTCTGTGGGCACTCTGTGCCAGCACCCTCAAAGGGAAGAGCTTCAGCCTTAGATCTAACCTGAACTTCCCCTGTTTCAGTTTGAACCCATCACCCCTTGTCCTATCACTACAGTCCTTGATGAAGAGTCCCTCTCCAGCATCCCTGTAGCCCCCTTCAGACACTGGAAGCTGCTCTGAGGTCTCCACGCAGCTTCTTTTCTCTAGACTGGGCAGCCCCAATGTTCTCAGTCTGTCTACATAAAACTTCAGGACTTGTGGCCCTTCAGCAGTGTTCCAGCCTTAATTCCAGTGACCAAAATCCCTTTGATTTAAATGGGGCTTCTTATGTGTTGAAAGCTTGAATATGTGACCATGAAATTTGGATTACAGTGACCTAAGCATGTGGCACATGTGCAGCTTCTTCTACCTTTAGTTGTTAATGAGATGTTGTAGATTGCATTGATTAAAAATAAATGGATGTATAAAGTAATGAACATGGAGTGGTAATTGTAACTATTTTGATGATGATATGCTAGACGCCATTATGAAGGAAAAATGCTGTTTCACATGGTTTGCTATAATTTTATGACACTGAAAAGTAGTCTGGTTCTGTTTGTTTTTTAGATCTTTATTTAATACACTGGCCTGATGCGCAAGTTCCTGGTAAAAGCAATCGAGAGGTCCGAGCTGAAACCTGGAGAGCAATGGAGGAGCTCTATGAGAAAGGTGATAAAATAGTGAAAACCTATTTTAGCAGAAGGAATTACAGAACATTTTGGAATTCATAGAATTGGGGAATTCATGCAGATGTTAAACAATGTAATTTGAACTGGAGGTTTGTGTTTCAGTTGAGTTGAGGGTGCAAATTATGTAGATCTTTTTGGTAAGTTGAATATGTTTGTGTTGCTTGTAAATAATACATTGTAGATAATACATTGCCAAATTCTGCCCATGATGGTGTACACCCTTTCTTGAGGAAATCCACAGATAACATTGAAATCTATATGCTACTATAGAACATCTTTGTAGTAGCCTGTTCTTGTTTTAAGTATAACTCATGCTAAATTTTACTTCCTTTAGATTTATTTTCTTAACTGTATGATGCTGTTTTCCAATTTGCCACATATTGTGGTACACATTTGTGTTTTAGAAAAAGTCAACAAAACAAAATGGCTATATGAGAAATAAATACTCAACTGAGTATTCTTAGTACTAACATTTTTGGGAAAAAAAGGAAATCAAGGGAGGTATTCTCTCAAGTTCTGCTAATGGTCCATTTGATTTTTGGTGCACTGCAAAATTCATAGAATAGAGTCATAGAATCATGGAACGGTTTGGGTTGGAAAGGACTTTAATGTCGTCCAATTCCAGCCCCCTCCATGGGCAGGGACGCCTCACACTAAACCATGTTGCCCAAGGCTCTTTTGAACCTGGCCTTGAGCACTGCCAGGGATGAAGCATTTATCACTTCTCTGGGCAGCCTGTGCCAGCATCTCAGCACCCTCACAGGGAAGAACTTCTGCCTTAGATCTAACCTGAACTTCCCGTTTCAGTTTGAACCCATCACCCCTTGTCCTGTTGCTACAGTCCCTGATGCAGAGTCCCTCTCCAGCATCCTTGCAGCCCCCTTCAGACACTGGAAGCTGCTCTGAGGTCTCCACACAGCTTCTCTTCTCCAGGCTGAACAGCCCCAATGTTCTCAGTTTATTATTTTCAGTTTATGTTTGTAGCAATAGGAAGAGTAGACTGCCCCAATCAAAATTCATCATGTAGATTTAAGAGGAGGATTTTGCTCCTGAACTATGCGCTAGTATTAGAAATAGCTTTGTAAAAGAAGATCCTGTCATGCAGTGCTTGGACAAAGTTCGCCTCCCTCTTTATAACTTCCTTCCCTAGGCAGGGAGAAGATTTCTTGGCTTAAGTAGTGTATGCATTAACCCAGAGTTACTGAAACAGTGATTATAGCAGAGAGTTGTACAAAGGCAATTACAGGTTGTGTGACACTGCCAGTTTTATCAGAGCACTGATAAAAACCTGTTCTCTTATGCTTCAAGCCTTCCGTTCCTTTTGGTCTGCCTCTGGAAACACAGAAGTAAATGATTTTTGATACATCTGTTGTTCTTGCTTTTTATATTAAGCATAAGGGAAGTTGCAAGAAGTGTTTCTGTCTGTGTAAGGGATTACAACAGTCAGTCTTTAAAGAAACACTACACCAACCTCTTATTTCAAAGTGTCAGTGACTTTTAATTCCAAGAATTATTTGACAAGGTGCTTAATCCTGCCATTGAGAAGTGTTTTCTGATGAGTATTTAAGTTAGTGCATGTCATTTGTGCCTAGCTTCTAATTTGCTCCAAACAGGTTGTGTTTTCACCTATTATTACTTCTATTACCTTTATTCTGCTTTTTCATGTGTGTTTGTGATCTTCTGTGTCTTACACAACTTTCTCTCTATATATATCTTCCTAATGGGAAAGACTGAGCTATTCAGTGATTTTCCAGTGTGACACTGCCTCACAGGCAGACAAAAGATTCCTTTTATTTTTTATTCCTATGCTTGATACCACCTTACAGACATCCCAGGTTATAGTTATTTTTCCTGCAATTGCATTTCTTCAATGATTTTGTCAGTTTGCATGTTGCTACCCTCAGTCTTTTTCTGAGTGTAAGCATTCTGTAGACTTCTGATTAATTTAGCTAAGCCTAAGTTTTCCAGCTCTGGTTGTCTAAATTACCTGTTAGATCATCTCCAGGGGAAGAAAAATGTATTAGTCTGATTGAATCAAGTACCTTAGAACATTAACATTCACAGTTTTGCATTAGGAGATACAGACTCTGGATGTGCTGACCGTAACTACGTGTTACTGAAATAACACACAGATGTTACCCACTCTGGAGATGGAAATGCAATGATCCCTGAGGAAAATGGGAAAGAATTTGTTTGCATGGTTAACCACTAAACTTTCCACCGAAGACTGATCAGTTGCTGCATATCTTTATGTGACTTGCCATGTGTAATGTGAGCAACATGTTAGCCTTGGTATGAATCAAATAGAGGATTTGGTCAAAATCCTTATTTAAGGAAAAAAAAAACCTTTATTGAGGGAAAAAATGGTAAGTTCTATACTAAACAGGTGAGTTGTCTTCTCTGAACTTGACATTGGTTCAGGTAGCCCTTGGTTCCTGTTTTCAGTCCTGTTTTTTTTTTTGTTTTTTGGTTTATGGGAGATTCTTTCTTTGTTTTTAGGGGATTCTGAAGCCACTCTTGTTCTTCACTGTAACACTGTGGCAGAATACATTTATTATCTGTGTTAAAATAAATAATATGCCCCCAAAGTTTTACACACTTTAGGTGTCTTAATCCCTTTGGGTTGTGTCTAGACTGTGGTCCTGTGTCTTTCTGGTTTACCCTTGAGCTATAGAGTCATAAAGCAGAGGTTAATAAAAGATGAGGTAAACATGCTGATCTTTTATTTTCTCCTGTCTAAATCCTTCAGTATGCTTTTAGAGTCCATTGAAAGTTGTACCAGCATCTTTCCCAGTCATTGCATTTGCTGGTTTCCATTATACCTTTCCAGAGAAATGTCACGCAGTCCTGGTCAGCAAAGGTAGATATAGATATACGAGCCCATAGCAATTGTATCATTCCATAACATGAACCAAAACTTATGAATTCTATGTAAATTTGCCCAAATCTCATAGAAAGTATAATAGAACATTATTCATTGAGCTAATGAATTAAAACACTGCTTGATTCATGAGATACTCATATGCTGGTTAAGAAAGGATTCAGTGCAGAGACTTCTATTTTGTCTCACAGTCTGTTGTGTTCCCTAAGTCTTCAGACCCTGGGATTTGCATGCGTTTATCCCCGACCTTGCTTCCAGAGGGAATTGTGCCATCTGTTGTGGTAGCTTGGGAGCAGAATTCTGCACCTGGCCTCAGCAGCCAGCCCAAGTGATTGGAAGGTTTTCCAATGGAAAAGCTCATCAGGAACTGCAGCAGTTGCCACTGATCAGTCCCTGCAGAGTTAGGAACAAGTGAATGGGGGAGGAGAATTATACTTGTCTTTACTGTTTATAGAATTGTTGTGTGTACCTGACGGAACAGGGTAAAGGCACTACCTACCCTAAAGACTCCTATTTATAAATGCTGGGTGGCTTCTGATAGACCTAGCTGGTACTTTGAGTCATAGCAGGAAAGTTCTTATATTCAGCAGGTTTCTACTAGCTGAGGACAAAATTGCAGTTTCAAGAATTAGTTTCTTTAAATGCTGAGTGTAGCATTTGGATTATTTGTTTGGCTTTGGTTGATTGTTGTTGGTTTAATTGCATCCTGTGTGACTTGTTAATCTGCTCCAGCTTGATGGTCACAGGAGCCGGGTGACTCCATTGATCTGTGTCCGTCTGTCTTAAGGTCTCAGTCACAGCCAAGAAGCTTCCATGTGTACTGAAGTGGTGAGGGGCAGAGGATTCTAGATGCACATTTTCCTCTAAAGAGTTACGGGATAAACAGTGCTGAGGAAAAGAGGGAGAAAAAACAATCTTCATGTTGGTCAGTGAGACATTTGTATATAATAACTGGTTCGTTCTCTTGTAACAGCTGAAGTCAACTAGGATTCTTGTAATATCAAGACTATGGTGGAAGTTTTGTGGTCTCATATGTTATCATTTTGTGAAATTATCCCCTCCAATACCTCAAGACAGAGGCCAGACTGCCTACAGAACCCCTTCCAAGATACATACATTGAGTCATATATTCCCTTGACAGCTGCAACATTCCAGTACAGGCATTTGTGTGCTGGCAGATGAAAGCAGTGTGGCAAGCTGCTTTGACATCATGAATAGTCATTATATATGCTCCTGGTAATTGGTCTGTTCCTAGCAAAATGATCCTTTCCATATGCAGCATCTTAAATGACCTTGATTTTGGCATTGTGGCTAGCCCATCATCTCGGCAAGCTTTCCGTACACACACATGCACATGATTACTTGTCCTTCTATCTCAAAATGCTGGGAAGAATGAGGGCCTTCAGCCAATTTTTGCTTGCAGTTGGCAAGAGTGGCAAAGTGGTGGTAGTTCTGGGTTCAGATCCCATTGGGGCTCAGGGCTATTATACTAAGAGTAGAATATCTTGCTTATCTTTTTAGTGTAAGCAGTGCAGTTTATGCTTACATGGAATAGTGATACTTGTGTCAGAAATTCCTTAATGTCTTAACATTAAGGATTTTGTTAAACATAGAGAAATGCTCTTCAAAATAAATACAATTATTCTATTAATATGTTAGTTTAATAGTCTTTTTGTATGATTTGACCAGACCCATAAAGTAACAGAAATTCTTTTATTTGAAGCCATGTCACCATGTTCTTGGAAAAAAATTATGGTTTTCCTAATTCCAAGTGAGAGAAGAAATCTAACCAACCTTTACAATAGTCTTATCCTTTTCATCTTTGGGCATAGATCAGTTCACTCAGAATCTTTTCTTCCTCCTTTTTCTATCAGTTCTTAAAAGTATGAGTGAGAGTTCAGGAAACCAAATACAGCTTTTGAGTAGGTGACACAAATTTCTAGTGCATCCATTCTGGATGACACATTCTGCTTTTATTCTGCTGAAAAAATACTTTAAATCTATGCTCATATTGTCAAATGATGAATACAAACATTAGTGTCACAGCTCCACAAAATGTCTTCTGAGGCTTTAGGCTGGTAGAAGTCCAGCCTATGTCC